CTGATAGAATTGCCAAAATTGGCCAAGTTGGGGTGCCTGGATGTGAGCCAGGCCCTGTCTCCAGCTCAGGTTTGCATGGCGGAAGCTGTTGCACACCACTGTGTGCTTGTGGGGCTTCCTTCTCCCAAAAAAAGAGGGTTAAAAAAAAAAAAAAAAAAAAAAAGGTGAATGTTCTGGTTCTTTCGATTCTGGTTTCAGTTCTGCCTAAGATGACTGCATGTGCAGAGGCTGTGCCTTCCAGATGTTAGCTGTCACAGACTTTGCCCATGTTGGTTCCAAGTGGTTCCACCCCTTCTGCTCTGTGCTGTGGTCATGCATGCCATTCTGAGCCTTTAGTGCCTCTCCGTTGGGGTCCTTCCCTCCCTCAGGGCTGGCCTCATCTTAAGCTTCAGTCCCTCCCTCAGGGTCTGCCTCGCTGCTGGGGTCAGTTCCCATCCTGAGGACACACGGAGTGCTGTGATGCTGCACAGCCCCAGTGGCCCCGTGCTGCAGCAGTGCGTGAAATCCTGCTGCTGTCCCTTCTCCAGCATTCCTCGCATCACTGCCTATGCTTAGGGGGATTTAATTACAGTCAAACAACCTGAAATCAGTTCTTCCCCAAGCAGTGATGGTGACAGCGAGCCCTGTGACCTGGCATGGGCCAGTGGTTTTGTGGCCCTCCGGTGACACTCGCAGGGATGGCAGTGTGACTGCAGTTCTTCACGGGGCTGGGATCCGTTCTGCTTGCTGTAGTTTTGGAGCTGCGGTTTTGAAATCATTTCAAGACCTGCAGACAGGCTTAGGCTCGCTCTCCTGTCAACCTATGCACGTGGGTGCAGAATGTTGTGGGGTAGAGGTGAGGAAACCCACAGAGAGTGGCCGTAGCTCAGTCTCCTCTCTCCGCTTGGTTTATCAGGAGCTGATAAACCATGTCTGCGTTTTCCTAATTCCATTTGGAGTTGAACCTTAATCCCTGTGAATCCTGTCCAATCTGGGGTTCTCACTGACAAGTGCTGCCCTCGAGCTGCTTTGCCGCTCAGTGCTTGCCCTCCTGCTGCTGTCTGGGGCAGTGCAGTGTTGGACATGTGAGGAATGGGCTGCTGGGTTGCATTGGGGTGGGTGTGTTTGGGAGCCTGGCAGCCTGCTTTGCTTCCAGCCCCAAATCTTCCAAAGGTGTCTGCGCCTCGAAAGGAGCAGCTCCGACCCCCCACGTGCTCTGCCAGGTGTCCCCATTTGCTTCCACTCGAGTGCCACCATGATGGGACATCGGAGGCTGTGATGCTGTGATATTACCTCCAGCAAAACTCTTTTGGGGAGCTGATTTCTACTGCTTTTCCCTGCATGACTTCTGCAAGGCTGCGATGCTGAGGTGGTTTTTGTGGCAAGGCATTAACTTCCCTGAAATCAGCAGGGTGAACAGGAGGATTGATGAGCCAGGCTTGGGGTGAGCAACTGCAGAGTGCGCTGTAGGCACCGGGAGCTCGTTTTTCCTGTTCACCACAAATTATTTTAATGATCTTCTGTGCTCAACAGCCTCCTTCTGCCTGCACAGTGTGTGGGCCGGGTCCTGGGGGTGACGCTGGCGTGCAGTGCACACGTCTGTTTGCTCCCCAGGTGGCTCTGTGGGGTGAACCGCCCCCAAAGCAGCAGAGAACTGAGACCCCCACGCCTCTCTGCTGGGAGGTGACCTGAAGTTGCGGCCCCCCGGAAGCTGTCTCAGTCCTGGTCCTGGCACTGGGCGCTCTTCCTGGGAGGGTTTGAGGTTTCTTGCAGCCCCAGATGCCTGTCCTGTGGGTGTGAGGTGGGAGGGGAGGCAGGGAGGGATCTCTTCCAAGTCATGGCTCCTGGAACCCCTGGTTTGAAAACAAATGTGACAGCACACTGCGGTTTTGGGTGGTGCAGCTGTGAGGAGCTGCCCCTCGGGACTCCCCGCTCAGAATGAGGCTTTTTCTGCTGAATTTCTCCTCCTTCAGTCTAAGCAGTGTGACGTAGAACTGCTTTTTTTTCTTTGCATTTCCCGGGTGACCAGTGCTAAATAACCCAAAGACAGCATCTGCTTAATTTCTGCTTTGGCTTTGAAACAATTCGGCAGCAGGAAAACGAGCGATTCTTGGGGAAAGGTTTGAAGTTTGCTCTAAAAACAGAGACCCAGAAACAAATTAGAGAATGGGATTGCTGCTGGAACTGCTTGGGACTTGAGCAATTCCCCCCCTCCCCAGTTTTGTGTGGACTGAGGTTTGTGGGTTCCCTGCCAGGAGGGGGGATGTGGGGTGAAGCAAACTTGGCGTTTCCAGGCAGGATTTCATAGAGAGCTGCAGCTCGCCCTGTGCCAAAGTATTTATAGGTCAGGTTGCAAAACCCAACAGCAGCAGTGAAATGGCAACAAAACAATTAGAGTTTGTGATGGCTTCATGACCTCTGCACTTAAAGGTTTTGCAAAGCGTGGAGGAATCTCTTCTCTCTCCAGGTGCCACCACTCCAAGTTCTCCTTTCCTCAGTTCCTGCTGGGATGTGGCATTTGGGTTCCCAATTGCTTGTCGGAACGATTTGGGACAGCTGCGCTCTCAGAGTGTGCTTTGAGGCACAGCAGTACTGCTGCAGCATTGCCTTTGGAAGCACAGAGTTGTTGAGCTGCTGGCTGGTCTTGCTGTAAAACTCAGCGTTGTCCCCAGTGTGATTTCATACTTAGTTGAATCTTGGGGGTGACCATGCTGACAAATGGCAAAGAACAAAGTCCAGAGGTGGAGTGGCCTTGGATGAAGTAAAATCACCCGTCCTGGGGCTTCCCTGCCCACAGACCTGCCAGCACGGGGAGGGAGAGCCTGGAGCCGGTCTGACGGGGCCTGGAGCTGAGCAGCTCAGGGCGTGCCAGCTGTGACAGGAGGGACACCGTCCTGCCTGTCCCACTGGTGGTGGCACCTCGAGGATTTGCAGCCCGCTGTAATGGGAGAGCACGGTTTGAGGCTGTTGCCCCAGCTCTGGTTTGGGATCCTGGCGGAGAAGGGGCATGTGGCTGACATTTGGGGGTCGCACCACACCAGAGGGAAGTGGCACAGTGGTGGGAACAACCCTGGATGGCGAAGCTCAGCTTGGAGGATCCGAGAGTGGGATTTTCACAGAGAGAGCGACAGGACCCGTGTTCAAACCCAATGGCCTCTTTTTGCCTTGCAGGAACAGCGTGCCAGGCGGAGATGGCAGCCCTGAAACGCAGCCGCGCACAGGCCTGGCCCGAGGAGCAGGGCGACCGCGAGCACGGGCTGTACAGCCTGCACCGCATGTTCGACATCGTGGGCACTCACCTGACGCACCGCGACGTGCGCGTCCTCTCCTTCCTGTTCGTGGACGTCATCGATGACTACGAGCGGGGCATGATCCGCAGCGGCAGGGACTTCTTGCTGGCGCTGGAGCGGCAGGGCCGCTGCGATGAGACCAACTTCAGGCAGGTGCTGCAGCTGCTGCGGATCATCACGCGCCACGACCTGCTGCCCTACGTCACCCTCAAGAGGCGGCGGGCTGGTGAGTGCCCGGCGCTCCGACTGTGGCCCAAGGGGGGTGGTGGCAGAGCAGGGTGACAGCAAACTGTGATTCTGTGGTCTATGAGTGCCTTTCAACGCCAGAGAACCGAGTGATCCCACGGTTCTGTTATCTATAGGATCCCCCCCCACTCGGCTGTGCTGTGATCCCTAAGATCAGGAACCCCCTAGGGTTCTAAGATTCTCCTCTTTCTTTTCCACTGAGACTCTCTGGGGCTTTAGGGAGAGTTTATTCTGGCCCAAAGGCCCTGTTTTTGGGGAGATTCCTTCAAGTGGCCTTTGGGTAGGGCAAGGAGGAGCTCCAGGGACAGTGTGCTCGCCTTTTCAGAAGGGACACAAGGCTCTGGAGGTGACTGATGTCCTCTCTGAGCCTACTGCTGTGCAGCACACTGTGGCACGTTCCAGGAGACCGTGCTGTTTGAGCAGAGTGCCCCAACCTCTCCTGTTTCAGCAGCCTGCTTTCGCTCTGGGTGCAGATCTGAGCATTGTTACCAGGACATTCAGACTGGGGTAAATCAGTTGGGTTTTTATCACTGTAGGCCCAGCTCTGTGCCAATTCGCCATTCGGGGAACCTCACCCAGGGCTGAGGAGCTCACTTGTTGCAGGAGTGGTGAGGTGGCCGCTTTGGCAGGCTCCAGCCTCAGAAATTTGCGTTTTTCTCATGAAATGAGGTTAATTGTGCTTTCATGGCCGTTCTGGGCTGCTCTCTCAGCTTTCTGCTTGCAACTGTTATGCCAGCGCTTGGGAAAGTGGTGAAAACAAGTATGGGCAGGCATGAAACCTTCCCCTTTTTTGGGGCGAGATGTGGGGGAGCTGACAGAGGAGCACAGAGACCACAAGAAATCCTTTAACCTGGGGTTGTCACCCCCCTGTCCTGGCGATGGCATCTGTCCTGTGCTGGAGAGCTGCATCAGGAGGCAGAAATCATGGAGGTGTGAGATCCTGACCAGCCACATTCTAATGGCAGCAGCTTAAGAAATACCCCAAAACAGTTCAGAAAAGTGCTGAGAGCTGCAGCTGAACGAGGTTTACAGTGTGCTTTGCATTGAGGGGGAGCGGGTTGATGGGCTACAGGAAGTGCTGCTCGGGTCCCTGCCTCCTTCCAGAGCTGCGCCGCACTGCAACCTCATCTCTGTTCCTCTTTCATAGCTGTTTCTCTGCAGAGGAGCAAAACCTCGGCCCTGAGTTAGCTCAGAGCTGGGGGAAGGATGGGAGCTGTGATCTCGCTTTCCCCATCATCTTTGCTCGCAGCTGCTCCTCCTTATCAGTGTGACTTCAGAGCCCCGGCAGGGTGCATCACGCTGCTTCAGAGCTCTGTTCTGAAGCCATGCAGATAACAAAGTCATGCAGATAACGCTGCCTGCTATTGCAGCTTGGAGATGTAGGCAGGGGCATCGGCATGGGGCTGTCCTGGGGACTGACGGTGTCGGAATGATACGGGCAGTGCCTGTAGCTGTGGAGTGGGCCTTTCCCACACAGCAGTGTTATTTCTGAGCTCTGAAATGAGTTTATTTCCCAATATCTGAGGAACAGCTCTTTGCAGTGGGGTACCGGAGAGACCTCGAGTGCCACTACTGGGGCTGGGAACTACATGGCTGTGACTTTGGGGGTGCTATTTTTTTGTTTGTTTTGCTTTGTTTTGGAAAGGAAGCGGTTGTGAGGTTCTTGGGCTTAAAAAGATGCTGTGGGGAAATCACCTGTGGGAAGTCACCAGTGGAAGTCATCGGGGATGTGTGTGCAGTGGGGATCTGTGCGTGCGGCGCTTTGTGCTGCTGCTCTCTGGGTCTGTCCTAACGAGACCCTCGCTCCCTCTGCGGCAGTGTGCCCGGACCTGGTGGACAAGTACTTGGAGGAGACCTCCATCCGCTACGTGACGCCACGGGCTCACAGCGCTGCGGAACACGGCCTCGGCCACCCCCACAAATCAGGTGAGGACCTGGGGCTTGGGAACGCACCAGGATCTGTGTCTGAATTCCCGTTTCCCTGATAATGGAGCAGAAGCTGGCACGAGAGTTGTGGCACTGATTACAAAAGGGCTGTGCCCGCCCAAGAAGCGCCCCCACCCCAACCCATAGCTCGCACACAGGCTCTCTGCAGTGCTGTCCCAGCAGAATCTGGCCCTGGTGTGATTGTGTCCCTTCACATTAGTGGTGCCTTTCCCCACCTGTCACTGTCACCTCATCCCAGTGATGTAGGCTGGGGACAGCCTGGTGCTGACTGCAAGTTTTAGCACTGCTCAAGTGACACATTGAGCGACCGGGGTTTGACCAAACAAGGATTTTGGTGTCCCTTCCCATTTTGGAGAGCAGCTTCAGTCAGGCCATCCTCCAGGTTCACCCTAGGATGAAATCAAAGGTTTAGAATGCACCAAAAGATTTCCACAGAGCTGGGGGGCTCTTCTGCTCCCTGTGGGAGAGGTGCTTTTGGGGCTGCCCCTGGTCTGCAACTCTGTGGGCTGCGGAGGGAGCGAAGCCCCCAGCCCCAGGCTTGGGCACCGTGGGGCAGCACACGACTCCGGGTCCCTGCTCTGAGGCGCCCCCCGGTCCCGGCTCCTCACCTGTTCATCCTCTGGGCAGTGCCTCCCCAGCACCCCATGGTCTGCTGCTCCTCGGCGGGGCCGCAGATCTGCACCAAGAGGCCCGGCCGTGGCAGGGCCCTCCTCAGCAGCCAGCGCAAGCGCAGGAAGTCGGTGACTCCAGACCCCAAGGAGAAGCAGACATGCGGTAAGATGTGTGGGGGGCCGGGGGGGGACAGAGGGGGTCCTGACACCCCCAAGAGAATGGGGACAGCACGCTGAGTGCCCTGCTCCCTGCAGACATCCGCTTGCGAGTCCGAGCCGAGTACTGCCAGCACGAGACGGCGCTCCAGGGCAACGTCTTCTCCAACAAGCAGGACCCACTGGAGCGCCAGTTTGAGCGCTTCAACCAAGCCAACACCATCCTGAAGTCCCGGGACCTGGGCTCCATCATCTGTGACATAAAATTCTCAGAGCTCACCTACCTCGACGCGTTCTGGCGTGATTACATCAACGGCTCTTTGCTGGAGGCCCTCAAGGGCGTCTTCATCACGGACTCGCTCAAGCAAGCCGTGGGCCATGAAGCCATCAAACTGCTGGTCAATGTGGACGAGGAGGATTACGAGGTTGGGCGCCAGAAACTCCTGAGGAACTTGATGCTGCAGACGGCCCCCTGACACCCGGTGGGATTCAAGCTCTTTTTTTTTTTTTTTGTTTTTTTTTTTTTTTTTTTTTTCTAAAAAAAAAGATCTAAAGCCCTGCTGGACTCCCATGGGGTGCTGAGCTGTGGGACCCGGTTTGCTGCAGGGAGCGCCGGAGGCTTACGTGTTCTCTCACCCTTCTGTCCTGTCACCTTCTTTCTTGCTTTGTTTTCTTTTTCTCTTTTGTTTTGTATCCATTAAAAAAAGAAAAATCAACCCAAAAAAGTAAAAAGCTCCGCCCGGGGTGGGTCAGCAATGGGCAGAGATGGGACAGGGTGGGGGTTGTACTGGGAGCTGTGAGGTGGCTGTGCTCCTCTCCTGCCCTTTTGTCAGCATCCCTACGGGCCTGGGACTGGGGTGGCCCTATTGTCCCTGATACCAGAGCCCCGACCCCCCACTCCACTGCCTCCTCTCTGGGGTCCTCAGGAGCAGCTCTGGAGGTGTCCGAGGTGTCCCCATGCTGTCCCCAGGACCATGTGCCTTTGTGTCCCCCTCCCTTATGGGGCCTGGGGGGGGGAACAGTGCTGAGGGACACAGTGAGATCTCTGCCTGTCCCGTCCTCTTATTGCAGTTGGGATGAGCTGGGACAAACTGGGATAGGGGGAGTTGGCCCCATGGCTGTGTTCTAGCGGGCCTGTCACCTCTGCTGTCCCCCTTCTCAAGGTCCTGGGGGGAACGGGGGGAACGTTCCCCTCTCCACCCCCAACTTTGTGGTTTTCTCCCCATCCCCCAAGCTGTCCCCCCACCATGGGGCAGGCACTGACTCCACAGCTGGGGAGGGGGATGTGTAGCACTTCCCCCCTCCCCCCCCCAGGTGACAGCCAACTTTGGCACAACGTGGTGTAATTTCTGTGACTTCTGTATTTTTTAAAAACTTCAATATAACGGTCATATTCCCTGTGTAGCTTTCGGTTTTCTTGAAATAAACATCTACAGCAGTGCACGGCTCTTTCCTTTGTCTCTCCAGTCACACCCCCAGCACCGGGAAAGCCACAGAGCCCCAGGTGTGTGTTCCCACCTGTATTTTGCAAGACAAACATAGGATCCAGCCCGGCTGTGGGTTGCTATGGGGCTGAGAGTGCTGCCTGCAGCCCCACAGTCCCATAGAGATCAGCACGGCGGTGACTCTGCACCGGGATCTCGCGGCGCACGCGGCGCAGGTACTCGAGGTCAATCTCGGCATAACAGAGCCCCGGTCCCTCGCTGCACTGTGCCACCACCGTCCCCCAGGGGTCTGCCACCAGCGTGTGGCCGTAGGACACGCGGCCCTCGTGGTTCCGACCTGTCTGCGCTGCTGCCACCACATAGCACTGGGTCTCGATGGCACGTGCTCGCAGCAGCACCTGTGGGGCCACGGTGAGGATGAGGGTCATCCCAGAAATAGAGAGAAAAAGAGGTGGGGTTTTTTTGGGTGGGGGGGGTTGGAGGAGTGGTTAATGCTCACCTCCCAGTGTGCGGAACCTGTGGGGAAGGTGAAGGCAGAGGGGTAGGTGAGAATCTCAGCACCGGCGTGCCGCAGCGCCAGTGAGATTTCAGGGAAACGCAGGTCATAGCAGATGGAGAGTCCAAGCTGGTTGGGGACAACGGGACATCAGAACAGGCACGGGACGTGGCATGGGATGAAGATGGGAATGGCCACCCCGTACCATTCCCGCTGGAGTGCTGATGGGAGGCACGATTTCGGTGCCTGGGTTGGTGAAGCTGCTCTCTTTCATGGTGACCCGGCCCTCCAGCTCCACGTCACACAGGTGGGTCTTCCTGTAGGCTGCTGCCAAGCGGCCTGCGAGCGACAAGGGAGCACCGGGAGCAGGCCGATGTGTGACAGGGCCCTCAATATTGCAGGGCTGGGGGGGCTCACCTGTTTGGTCCAGCAGCACATGGCAGTTGTAGATGCGCTGCGTGCTTGGCCAGTCTGCACTGCGCTCGTGGAAACCACCCAGGGACAGCCACACACCACAGTCCCTGTGAGGAGCAATGTGGTGTCACTGCAAAACAAGTGATGTCACTAGGACAAGAATTGTCGCGGGGACAACAGGCACCACCAGGATGAGTGATGTCACTGGGATGAGCAGTGCCACCAGGACAAGCGATGACACCAGGATGAGTGGTGCTACTGAGAAGTGTTGTCACCAGGACAAACAGTGCGCTGCTGGGATGAGCGCTGTCACTGGGATGAGCAGTGTCATCAAAACAAGCAGTGTCACCAGGATGAGCGGAGCCACCCTGGGTGTCCCCATGGTACCATTACCTGGCCAGCGTGGAGTAGCGTGCCATCAGCTCACCGTCCAGGCTCTCAGCCAGGCTGAGCGTTTGCGCAGAGTCGCGGCCAATGTAGTCGAAGCCTTCGGGGAGGAAGACGAGGCACGCACCCTGCCGTGCTGCTGCCCGCACCAGCGCTGCACAGCTAGAGAAGTTCTGCTCCTTGTCAGGAGTGGAGGTCACCTGGCCCACGGCCACCAGCGGCTTTGGTCCCAGGGACGCCGCCATGGCTTGGTGGCTGTGACACAGTGTGGGTCAGCGCCAGGGATGCGGTCACCATGGTTGTGTGTCCCCACCCACTGCCACCCACATGTGAGTACCTGCCCAGGTGGCTCCAGGGGCCTGGGCATAAGCGGTGCAGTGGGAACCGGAGCACCGCACTCAGCCTGGGTGGGGGGGGCACAGAGTGAGCCCCTCCTCAAAGCTGAAACTGCCCTAGGACACCCCCAGTTTGTCTCCAGGACTCTCAGGCTGCTCCTAAACCCTCAATCCACCCCCAAGCTGCCCCATAATGCTCCTAGCACCCCACTTAAATTGCCACCAAGATCTCCAGACTGCCTCCAAGCCACAAACTGCACCAGAAAGCCCCCCAGTTTGTCCCCAGGACTCACAGGCTGCTCCCAAGCAGCCCCATATTGCCTCTTAGAGCCCCTAGCGGCACCCAAACTGTCCCAGGACCACCACGATTTGCCTCTAGAGTCCCTCAGCCTGTCCCCAACCCTAACCCAAACTGCCCCACATTGCCCCAAGGACCCTTCCATCCTGCCCCCAACCCCCCACCCCCCCAAAAAAAACCCTGCCCCCGGGATACCCCAAAGTGCCCCAGACCCCTCCTCACATTCTGACCTTTTCCACAGTTGTCCCCAGCACACCCAGTTGGCCCTAGGACCCTCCAAGCTGCCCCCAACACATCTCAGAATTGCTCCCAGCACCACCAAACTGCTCCAGCACACTTCAAACGGCCCTTAGAATCCCAAACTGCCTCAAGGGCCCCACATATTTCTCCAAACTGCTCCCAGGCCCCCAAACTGGCTCAGGGCCCCCCCGGGCGGCCCCCGGCACGCGCAGGCGGCCCCTGGGACCCCACCACCACTTTCAAACTGCCCACAGAACCCCCCCCCAGACTGCCCCCGGCCCGTACATGTCGCGCCGACAGCACCGAAGAGGGAGGCGGTGATCGGGGCAACGGGCAAAGTCCCCGACACCACTGCCCACAACCAAGATGGCGCCCAGCACTACCTCACCATACAGCACCGCTGCCAGGCTTGACCTTTACCAAGATGGCGCCCAGGTTGTCTCCGGTATACACCGGAAGAGCGCAATCACGACGTCGGTCTGCGCCGGAAGAGAGCCTGCCCAATTTCCGGTGTGCGCCGGAAGAGGCGCAAAGTGGAGGGGGAAAGATGGCGGACAGCGTGAAGGGGCGGCCCGCGGCGGCGGGGCCAGCCGGGAAGGTGCTGACGGCGGAGCAGGTGCAGGGCGGGGCTTGGGGATGGATGAGGGAAGGTCCCGGGATCCCTTGATGACACCCCGCGGTTGTCCACGCAGGTGGTGGCTCGGTTCAATCGGTTACGGCAGGAGCAGCGCGGCCTGGCTTCCAAGGCGGCGGAGCTGGAGTTGGATCTCAACGAACACCGGTGGGGGGGAGGACAGAGGGACAGGAAAGCGTAACGGGACAAGGGGGGTGGGGGCATGGGGACATGGGTAGCAGTGAGTTGGGGGCGCACTGGGGAATGGGGCGAGGGAGGACGGAAAAAAAGGGGAACACAAGGGTGGGGGGGCGGTGGGGAATGGTTTGGGGGCGGTGGGGACGTCGGGGGGTACCGGAGAGTGAGGGTGTACCGAGGGATGGGTTGGGGAGCATACTGAGGAATGGGGGGGCACGGGGACATGGGGGCAGACGGGTCAAGGTATTGGGAGAGTAACAGCAAATGGGGAGGCACTGGGATAGAGGGAACCCCGGGGGTGTGGATGTCTCTGGGGGTCGGCACGTGGACTCTGGGAGTGCTGCTTAGAGACATGTGGAGAACACCGTGAGGAAGTGGGGACGTGGAAGGGACACAAATGGTGTGTGGTGGGGGTGGGGAGGACGCTGGGGGTGGCACTGGGGGTATAGAGGTGTCACTGGGGATGTGGGAAGCACTTGGGGATATGAGGGCGACCGTGAGGGAGGCCATCGGGTGTGGAGGTGCTGCTGGAGGGTTGTGGAAGGATATTGTTGGATATAGGAATGACAGCGGGGATGTGGAGGGCACGGGGGGCAGTGAAGGTGCTTGGGGGGGGACTCCTGGGACAAGGAGGAACACTGAAGAATGGTGGGCGTTGACACCGAGAGTGCCACAGCAACAAAACGAGGAATGCTGGGTTGTCACCGAGAGCAATGCAGGGTGATGTGGGGGTGACAGGGCCTCCCCTGCCCGACAGCCTGGTGATTGAGACGCTGCGCGAGGTGGACCCCACACGGAAGTGTTACCGCATGGTGGGGGGCATCCTGGTAGAGCGCACTGTCAAGGAAGTGCTGCCCGCGCTGGAGGGCAACCGCGAGCAGGTGACTCCTGGTCAGACCCCCCTTCACCTACAGGCCCTCCCCCCCCCCCCCAACCGCCCTAAAACCCCTCTCCCCTTTTTCTCCCCCAAGATCAGCAAAATCATCGAGACGCTGAGCCAGCAGCTGCAGAGCAAGGGTCGTGAACTGAACGAGTTCCGCGAGAAGCACAACATCCGCCTGGTGGGCGAGGATGACCCCCGGCAGCCCCCCAAGGATGGCACCGAGGGGGGCAAGGGCAGCGCCGCTGGTGTCCTCGTGTCCTAGCCTTGTTGTCCCCTGCTGTCACCTGTCCTCCCTCCCCTTGTTTAGTGGTTTTGTTAAATAGATGTGGGGATTTTGGGCCACAAGTGTTCTCTAGTTATGGAGTAATGGAGGTGACAGAAGCCGTGGGAGGTGGCACTGTGGGCGGTGACAGCAGTGGCACTTTGAGGACGCCCTTGAGCTGCCCGTTCACCTGTGACTGCCGTCAGCCGCCGCTTTCCTGTACCGTGTTCCTGTTGTGTCCTGGCTGTGTGGGAGGAGGGGCACACACAGGTGTCACTTCTGCTGGGGGTACAGTCGACAAAAAGCCACCTGGATGTTGTCCCCAGAATGTCACTCGGATCGCTGTGACCCTCTCTTGCTGTTACTCTCCCAAAAGTCTGTTCCTCTGGCAGAGGGAATGTGGGGAGATCAGTGGGGGGGTAGACAGGCCTGGCATTGGGAGACATGAGGACACTGGGGGACGTGGAGATGCTGGGGGCCTTGGGCGCACACAGTGGCACGGGGATGCAGAGACATGGCCTGGCACTGGGGGATCTGGGAACACGGGGTCATGGAGATGCTGGGGGTGGTATGGGGGACACGGATGTTGGAGGACACGAGGACAACAGAGGGTAGGGGATGTTGGTAATGGCACGGGGACATGGAGATGGGCTGGGAGACGTGGGGGCACGCGACTGGGGGGGGGATGTGTGGTCCCAGGACTGGAGCTGGTAGGGGGGTTGCACAGCCCCCCTGGGGATATGGGGGATTGCATGGTGAGCAGTGGGGGGGGACGTGGGGTAGCAGTGGTGATGGTCAGGGTTGTCTGCTGTCCCTATGAGCTGGGTGAGGGCTGGTGTGTGCCGGTGTGGGGTGGGGACAGGAGGGGACGTGCTGTTGACTGTACACAGCCCACACCCACAAGTCACACTGGGTGCAGCCGGTTCCCCCCAGTCCCCTGCGGTGACTGTCCCCATATAATGTGCGTGCCACCAGCCGTGCCATCAGTGCCACCACCATGGAGGGGGACGTGGGGACACGGATGGCTGACATTGAGAAGGAGAGCCTGCTGGGTGCTGTGCACGGCGTCTCGGGGCCCGGTATGGCTGCGTGTCGGGGACAGTGGGGACACTTGGGGCAGACAAGGGGGTGACGGTGCAATGTCCCTGCAGTGGTGACGGCCATACGCATGGCAGGGGCAGCCATGTATGAACTGGTGCGTGTGGGGCACGCAGAGCTGGTGGGGGAGATCATCCGCCTGGAGGGGGACATGGCCACACTGCAGGTGTATGAGGAGACCTGTATCCTTGTGGCCTTGCCTGTCCTTCCCTTGTCCCCTCCTGACTCCTCCTGTCCCCCTGACCCTTTCAGTGACCTTCTTGCCTTCTGTGAGTGACCTTGTTCCCTCCTGTCCTCTCCTGCCTCCTCATCACTCCTGATCTGTCCAGTGACCTCATCCCCTCCCATTCCTCCATCCACTCTGTCCTCCTTATCCTCTCCGGTCACCCTGTCCTGTCTCCTCTGTCTGGTTCTGTCCCCTCCAGTTCCTTTGTCCCCTCTCCTGTCCCCATGTATTGTCTCTGCGGTGTCCTACCTGTCCCCATCCCATCCACTCTCCCCGTTCCTGTTCCCGTGTCCCCTGTCCCCTCTAGTTTTCTTGTCCTCATCTGTCTGCGGTTCCTGTCCTGTCCCCATCCCAACATCCCCCACCCCACACCACATCCCTATCCCCATCACCCACGTTCCCACCCCGTGTTCCCCACCTCATGTCTCTATCCCTGTCCTCTACCCCACACCCCCCATCTCACGTCCCCCTCCTGCTCTGTGTGCCCACTCCTGAGCTCAGCACGCAGCGGGGGTGCGGGTGGGGGACCCAGTGCTGCGCACGGGTCAGCCGCTCTCGGTGGAGCTCGGTCCTGGCATCCTGGGCTCCATCTTCGATGGCATCCAGCGCCCGCTGCGGGACATCGCACAGCTGACGGGTGGCATCTACATCCCACGAGGTGTCAACGTCCCCGCCCTGCCACGGCACCTCACCTGGGACTTTGTCCCCAGCAAGAGCATCCAGGTGAGGACATGGGAACATTGGAAGGACACAGGGGCATGAAGATATGGGGACAGAGGGACGTGGGGACTCCATCTCCAGTAAGAGAATTCTGGTGGGAACATGGGGACATCAGTGGGACATGGGGATATGGCGCTGTTGTCCCCAGCAAGAGCATCCAGGTGGGAACATGGGGACACCCTTCTGCTCTCACTGGGGGGGCTGCACAATCCCATTGCCACCCGGTTACCCTCGTGATCGCACCGTGCCAGGTTGGCAGCCATGTCACTGGTGGGGACATCTATGGGACAGTGACAGAGAACTCACTCATCCAACACAAGATCATGGTGCCACCCCGCAGCTGTGGCACCGTCACCCACATCGCACCACCAGGACACTACAGCATCTCGGTAAGGGGTGGCTGACGTGGTGGTGGCATTGCATGGCATTGCATGGCACCGCTGTCCCAAAACATCCCCAATGGCATGGCAGTGGAGCGATGGCATCCCGCTGTCCCCAAATGTCCCTGAGGATGTAGTGGTGGTGGGCTAGTGTCATTCCATGGCACCACTGTCCACAAATGTCCCCGAGGACGTGGTGGTGGCATCCCAAAGCACTGCTGTCCCTACATGTCCCCAAATGTCCTCAAGGATGTGGTGCTGGAGCTGGACTTCGAGGGTGTGGCCGAGCAGCTGACCATGATGCAGGTGTGGCCAGTGCGGCAGACCCGGCCCGTGGTAGAGAAGCTGACAGCAAATCACCCACTGCTGACAGGACAGCGCGTGCTGGATGCGCTTTTCCCGTAGGGATTGGGATGGGATGGGATGGGAATGGGATTGGGATTGGGATGGGTTTGGGGACGGAATGGTGTGGGGATGGGAATGCGATTGGGACGGGGTTGGGGATGAAGATGAGTTTGAAATGAACTTTGATGGGGATGAAATGAAATGTAGATGGGAATGGGAAGGGGATACGGATTGGGGATAAAAGTGGGGATATAGGTTGGGGGGGTCAAGGGATGAGGATGGCGGACTCGCGTAGGTGGGAACTGGGGACATGAATAGGGGATGCGGGTAGGGATCGGGGGGTGGGGGTAAAGAATAGGAACAGGAGTGGAGATGATAATGGCAAGAGGGAGAGAAGTGGGAACAGAGAATGGTGACAGGACAGGAATGGAGATAGGGATTTGGGATGGGGGATGTGAGAAGAGGGAACAGGAGTATGGGATTGAGCTGGGAAGAGAGGGGGGTGGCGGACAGCAATGGGTGTGGGAATAGGGTATGGGATAGGGGACAAGGAGGACAGAGATGAGGGATAGGAGACGAATTGAGGGTGGAGATCAGCACGGGGACAGATGGAAGCAGGATGGAGTTGGGGCGGGAACGAGTGTGGACAGGAGTGGCGATGCGAGGGACCGTCCCCAGATGCGTGCAGGGTGGCACCACAGCCATCCCCGGTGCTTTTGGCTGCGGCAAAACCGTCATCTCGCAGTCCCTGTCCAAGTACTCCAACAGCGACATCATCGTCTACGTGGGCTGCGGGGAGCGCGGCAATGAGATGTCAGAGGTGCTGCGGGACTTCCCCGAGGTGAGAGCAGCAACTCAGGGGGACACTGAGGGGACAGCAGGCCGGGCGGTGCCAGCAGTGGCGCCAGCAGAAGGGCCAGCAGAGCCACTGAGGCCAAGGGGACCGACGGTGCTAATGGTTTCTCCCTCAGCTCACCATGGAGGTGGATGGGAGGACGGAGAGCATCATGAAGCGCACCACGCTGGTGGCCAACACCTCCAACATGCCAGTGGCTGCCCGCGAAGCCTCCATCTACACTGGTAGGCAACAGGGGACGATGACGGTGACGGCAGTGGCTCTGCCGCTGGTGCCATCCTGCGCCCCCTCCACACAGGCATCACGCTGTCTGAGTACTTCCGCGACATGGGGTTCAACGTCAGCATGATGGCCGACTCCACCTCCCGCTGGGCTGAGGCGCTGCGAGAGATTTCAGGGCGCTTGGCTGAGATGCCGGCAGGTGAGAAACTGAGCGTCCCCCGCGTCATCCCATTGTCACTGGACGTGGGCGCCGGCTCACCGTGCCACCCCACGCCCTGCAGACAGCGGGTACCCCGCGTACCTGGGCGCTCGCCTGGCCTCCTTCTATGAGCGTGCGGGGCGGGCGCGCTGCCTGGGGTCCCCCCTCCGCGAGGGCAGCGTCAGCATCGTTGGAGCGTGAGTATCACCAGGAGGGAACAACGTGGGACCATCCCACCCCACTGAGTGTGCTGCACCCCACAGGGTGTCACCGCCCGGAGGGGACTTCTCAGACCCTGTCACCTCAGCCACGCTGGGCATCGTGCAGGTGAGCTTTGAGGTGCCCACGGATCCCATATTTGGGCTCCCCATGGATCATATATTTGGGATTCCCCAAATGGATGTCCCGTTTTGTTTTCCTCATGGGTCCTGTATTTGGGATTCCTCATGGATCCATATTTGGAGTCCCTGTGGATCCCATGTTTAGGGTTCACATGTTTCTCATATCTGGGGTTCTCAGTGGATTCCATATTTGGTTTTCCTCATGGCTCCTGCACTTGGGGTTCCCACAGATCCCGTATTTGGGTTTCTCATAGGTCCCATATTTGGGTTCCCACGGATCCCCTATGGACTCTCATGCCAACCCCCCCCCCCCCCCCCCGGTCCCACAGGTGTTCTGGGGTCTGGACAAGAAGCTGGCACAGCGCAAGCACTTCCCGTCAGTGAACTGGCTGATCAGTTACAGCAAATACTTGCGGGCGCTGGAGCCCCACTACGAGCGGCTGCACCCTGACTTCCCCACACTGCGCACCCGTGCCAGGGAGATCCTGCAGGAGGAGGAGGATCTGGCTGAGATTGTGCAGCTCGTGGGGAAGGTGGGGGGTGGGACTGGGTGGGGATGTGGTGGGGATTGGGGTGGGGTGGGAGTGGCTGGGTTGGGGATTGGGATTGGGATGGGGTGGGGATGTGGAGAGAAGGGGAAGAGAATTTGAATGGGCTGGATGTAGGATTGGGAGGGGGATGGGATTGGGTAAGAATTGTATGGGATTGAATTGGGATGGGGATAGGATGGAAATGGGGTGGTATGGCGTGAAATTGGGACAGGGATGGGCTGGGAAAGGGATGGAGGTGGCATGAGATGGGGATAGGACAGGGATGGAATGGGGATGGAGATAGCATGGGGATGGGGATGAGGACAGAATGGAATGGGGAGAGCTGCGGCGTGGGGATGAGTTCCATGGGATGGGGATGTTGCCTTCCTCACAGGCGTCTCTTGCTGAGGCTGACAAGGTGACACTGGAGGTAGCCAAACTCCTCAAGGATGACTTCCTGCAGCAGAATGGCTACTCCTCCTATGACAGGTACTGTGCCTCCATGTACCCCGTGTCCCAGCATTCCCATACTGCTCCGATGTCTCTACACCACTCCCATGTACCCACACCACCTCCGCAACCCCAAGCCACCTTGATGACCCCATGTTGTTCCCATGCCACCCCCATGTCCCCATACCATCTCCACATCCCTGTGTCCTCATGGCATTCCCCACATCCCCATACCAGGTGACATCCATGTCCCTATGCCATCTCCATACCCTCATGTCGAACACATCATGTCCCCGTGTTCGCACATTCCCATGCCACCTCTAAGTCCCCATGTCCCCATGACACCCCCCGTGTCCCCACACCCCCACACCACCCCTGTCTCCCCTTGGGGTCCCCCCACCGCCCCCCAGGTTCTGCCCCTTCTACAAGACAGTGGGGATGCTGCAAAACATCGTCACCTTCTATGAGCTCGCCCGACATGCCGTGGAGGCCACTGGGTCTGGAGAGCGCCGTGTCACTTGGGCAACCATCCGTGAGAACCTCGGGGACATCCTGCACCGTCTGAGTGCCATGAAGTTCATGGTGGGAATTAAAAGGGGCAGGGGGGAGGGTCACTTATAGGGTGTCAGGAGGGCATTTATAGGAGGCTGGGGGACACTTACAGGAGGTCTGGGGACACCTCTAGGATGTCACTTATAGGGGTTGAGGGATGCTTACTGGGAGTCACTTGTAGGGAATAGGTGGGACACTTATAGGGGGTCAGAAGGGTCACTTATAGGTAATTGGGAGTATGCTTATAGGGGGTTAGGGGCATTTATAGAGGGTTAAGAGGTCACTCATAGGGAAGCAGGGGACCCACAGAGTGACACTGATGCTGCCCCCTCCACCCCAGGATCCAGTGAAGGACGGCGAAGCCAACATCACGGCTGCCTTCACGCAGCTCAACGAGGAGATGCAGGCAGCCTTCCGCAACCTGGAGGACTGAGGGTCTCCCTCTGGACCCTCTGCTCCAATAACCCCCCCACCCCAATTCACCCCCCACCTATTTCAGGATCTGTCCTCAGGGTCCCACTTGTCCTCGTAGAATCTTAGAATGGCCTGGGTTGAAAAGTACCACAATGCTCATCTGGTTTCAACCTCCCTCTTATGTGCAGGGGCTGCCAACCAGCAGACCAGGCTGCCCAGAGCCACATCCAGCCTGACCCCATGTCAGTAAGCAATTCTTTGTTTACCACATTGTGCCCTGTTCCTTTAATGAGTGATTTAGCTGGTTTAAAGCAGCTGTGTCTGCTACTGCTTTTCTCTACAACATTCTTTTCCATTATACGCAACTACACACTGCAGTGGTGTACCTCAGAGGTTTCATGAAGGTCTATTTCAAAGTAGCAGGAGTTTTGTTCAGTGTCAAGACAAAGGCCTCAGGCCTTGATGGTATTAAATGTTGGTATTAAATGATGGTGTCTTGTTTCAGTTAACATTAAAATTGCTTGGTAGTTAGATTTTGGTATGTGAATATTTAGAAAGAATGTAACGGACAGTGGCAAAAATGAAAAGCAACAGCAAATGGATCATTTTTTACAGATATTCATAAGCATTTTGCACAGCTTTCCTGGGTTTGGAGAAGTTTTCCTTTCTTTGCTTTGTTCCCCCCTTCCTCCAAACTTCTCTAATCCAAGAGAAAACGGAGACTCCCGGGCGCTGCTCCGCCAACCCCAATCAATGGCGGTTGTTCTTTTTGCGGTCCCTACTGCCGCCGCGTGGCCAAGCAGCGGAAGTGTAGCTGCCTCTGTTGCTCCCACAGGCAGCACAACGCATGCGCGCAAAAATGCGGAAGTGGCGAATCTGAGTTCTGACAAGTCTGCGCAGCGAATCTGCCAGTCTTTGTTATGCTTAGTCCTCCAGGCAACAGCGCGCATGCCCCCAGAAACATCAATCGCACCCATTTCTATTAACGGGCGGGAGAGCAGCCAATTCTTGGGCCGCGAGCTCAGCAATGTTGTCCCCTTTCCCATTCGTGACGCTTGCGCAGCAGGGTGTGAACAAGGCGCATGCGCAGCACTGTGCAAGTCACTTGCGCATGCGCAGCACTGTACCAACATTCTGCGCATGGGCAGGAAAGTGCCACCTGCCGCATGCGCAGCAGCATGCCAGCCAGGCGCATGCGCAGAAAGATGCCAGCCTGGCGCAGGAGTGTGCCAGCAGAGCGCATGCGCAGGAAGGTGTTATCAGGGCGCATGCACAACACGGTGCCAACCCGACGCATGCGCAGGATCCAGCCTGGCGCAAGCGCGGCAGGGTACCTTCTCGGCGCATGCGCAGTAGGAGCCCAGCCTGGCGCATGCGTAGTATGATACCAGACTAGCGCATGCACAACAGGGTGCCTACCCGGCGCATGCGCAGGAGTGCGCCAGACTGGCGCATGCGCAGCAGGGTTTCTACCCGACACATGCGCAGCACGGTGCCTGCCGGGCGCATGCCCAAAAGGGTGCCAGACTGGCGCATGCGCAGCAGGGTGCCTACCCGGCGCATGCGCAGGAAGGAGCCAGTCTGGCGCATGCGCAGCACGGTGCCTGCCCGGTGCATGCGCATTGCTTTGTCTGCAATGGCGCGTGCTTTGTGCTTTCGGTGCGCCGCCGAGCTCATATCACAGACAGCATTTTCTCCCAGAAATGACATTGCTCCGAAATATGACATTTTGTCCTAGAAATACCAGTTCTCACGCAAAAATATGGCATTATCTCCCAGAAATACCACTTTTCTTGCAAACATAAAACTTTTTGTCACAGAAATACCGGATTTCTCCCAAATATATGGTATTTGTGCCCAGAAATACCAGTTTTATCACAAAAAATGTCATTTCCATACAGAAACAACACCTTTCACCCTGAAGTATGGCATTTTTGCCCAAAAATATGACAAATTCTCCCAATAATGCGACATTTGATAGAAATACCAGTTTTCTTCCCCAAGTATGCCATTTTCTCCCCAAAGAATGATATTTTCTACCAGAAACACCAGCTTTCACCCAAAAATACAACATCTTCTCCCAGGAATACTACTTTACAATCCAAATATGACAATTTTGACACAGAAATATTACATTTCTTCTCAAAAATATGATATTTTATCTAACAAATACCAATTTTCTAACGAACAATTCATACTGTCCCCCAAAAATACTTCTTTACACTCCTCAATATGAAATTTTCACCCAAATATATGACATCTTCCCCCAGCAATACCAGTTTTCTCCCCAAATATGACATTTATTACAGAAATACCATTTTTCAATCTCAAATCTGACATTTTCTCCCAGTAGTATGACATTTTATGTGAGAAATACTGGCTTTCTTCCCTAAATACAACATTTTCTCCCCTAGGAATTATATTTTCTCCCAGAAATACTACATGTTCTACCAGAAATACAACTCGTTCTTCCAGAAATATATGTCACTTTCACCTAAAAATATCAGCTAAATCACAAAAAACATTTCCAAACAGAAATACAATGCTCCACCACAAAATATGGCATTTTATCCCCAAAATACGGCATTTTCTGCCAATATGCCATATTGGCATATTGAGAAAACTGGTATTTCTGGGAGAAAACATCATACTTTTGGGGGGAGAACTGGTATTCCTGGGATAAAATGTTTTGTTTGTTCTTCCTCTCTGACCGTGATGCCCCCTGAGATCTGTGTTACTTCTGCTCTTTGAGAACCAGGCGTACAGGAAGCAGTCAGACCATGGAACTGAAATTTTAGCTCTTTAATTGCCTGTGCTTTACAGGATCTTATGATGTGGAATACCGATAGCAAAACTATAAAACCATGACAGAGGGGCTGTAGGGGGCTCTGAGGGGCACTGGGAGACACTCAGAGAAGCTGGGGTCCCTAAAGGCCCCCCCCCAGTCGCCTTTAAGCTGCACTGCTCTCTCCTTGTGGAGCTTTGGGGCTTCCCTCCTCTTCTCTCCACCCTTCCATTGCTTTCCCTGCATGTTTTCCTGCTAGCATAGCCAGCTCCAGCCCCATAACTAATGAGACACGGCACACGGAAGGCCACATGCTCCAGGGGAAGAAGAGAAGAGACAGTAGGAAGACAAAAGATGAGTCTAACAAAAAAAAGCCAAAAAAACAATAGCAGTGATTAGAGGAGGAGCAGCAATTGATTAAATCCAACCAGATCAAACAAAATGAGAGAGAAACAGAACATCAAATACAAGCTCTTACACAGGGGAAGCACATACCTTTTTCTCTGCTTCAGTCCAGCCAGGAGCTCCACCTTCCCTCTCCTGTACTCCAGGTCCTCCAGGAATGCTGCTTCTCCCCTCCTGTCTAAGAACCCAAAGTGCCCATAAAAGCAGTCTACAGGACCAAAACATAAACCCTTTCTTTAACTCACTTTACATAACGTTCCGATGTGGAACACTGACAACAGAAACCACAACACCACAGCAGAGGTCCTTCCCCAGAGGCAGCCAGCCCTTAAATGGGGTCCAGAAGTGCAGCCAGGCTCCACCCTTCCTGTCACACAGGTGAATCACCTTCAGCTGTGCTCCTGTGGCTGACTCGTTGCTCGCCCCAGGTGATCAATCAGAGGTTCAGGCTGTGACTCAGCACTTCCCATACAAGCACCTGGGGAGGGGTGGAGCCTTGCAAGCACAGCTGGGGGCAGTTTGGCTGTGGGTGGGGCTGAGCCGGGCTCCACCTCTCCCTGACCCCATTTAAGGGCTGAGAAGCGCAGGGTAGCAGCTGAGCCTGGGCAGTGCTGCTTTTGGAGTGTGGAGGTGAGCCCTTCTCTATTGCAGGGCTGTGATCTCTGCCTTTCTGGGGGGATCCTGACTGCATTTGAGGGTTAGTAACCATTTGTACCTGGAAACTGTTTCCTTTAGAGTGTGGGTGAGTATTGGTTTTTGGAATGGGGTAAGTGGTTCCATTTTTATTTCAGGGTTGTGACCTCCCCTTTTTGGGGGATCCTAACCACATTTAAGGGCTGGTAGTTGTAAAGGCAGCTTCTGAACCTGGAGACTGTTTCCTTTGGGGTGCGGGGTGAGCCCTTAGAATGAGGGGAGTGATTCCTGCTTCATTTCAGAGCTGTGAGCTTTGCCTTTCCAGTGGGATCTCATGCTGGATTAGAGCAACTGTATTTGCTATGTGTGTTGTTTCCTCTTCAGTGGTTCTCATCTAGTAATTTCCAATCTGGGGCTCCAAACGCAATTTGTCTTCTGCCACATCATTCCGCTTTATGGCTATAATTCACAGCACCATGTGCTAATTGCACCTATGCAGAGTTTTTTAAGGGCATTCTATGCATCATTATTGTGTATTAAATTATGTTCTGTGTCTCTTTTGATTTCATTTTGCAGCTCGATGGGGTTTAAGGATTGCCTGGGCTCCTCTAATCAGTGGTGTGAGATCCGTGCAGCAGGTAATGGAACATCATGAGCCCCATGTTGGTGCATTGCTTGTATGCAGGAAGGTTTGCGATGCAGTCCAACTCCCCCACAATGAACATCCACAGCTGGATCAGGTTGCTCAGAGCTTGACCTAACTTCACCTTGAAAGCTACAGCGCATCCACCACGTCTCTGGCAACCTGTTCCACTGCCTTGCCACCCTCACTGTGGAAGACATTTTCCTTATATCTAACCTTAATTTTCACTTGTTCTTTCCTTCATGTATTGAAAGGCTGTTACCAGGTTACCTTGGAGCCTTCTCTTCTCCAGGCTGAACAGCCCCAGCTTTCTCCTTTTATAGGAGAGGTGTTCTGTCCCTCGGTTCACATGTGTAGCTGTACTGTGGATGCACTCCCACAGCTCCATACCTCTCCTGCACTGAGGACTCCTCATCCAGATGCAGCACTGCAGGTGAGACCTCACCAGCGCAGAGCAGAAGGGGGGGATCGCCTCCCTTCACCTGTTAACCGTCTTTGGATGCAGCCCAGGATACGGTTCGATTTCTGGGCTGGAAGGGCACATTGCTGGCTCATATCCTGCTCCCACCCATCAGTACCCCCAGGCCTTATGGGGCAGGACTATGCTCAGTTTTGGTGATGGGTGTTCCCTCATCCCAGCTGCTGACCCTGCACTTGAATTTGTGCCCACTACTCAACCTGTTGAGGTCCCTCTGGATGGTGTCCCGTCCCTCTGGTGTGTCACTGTACCCCACAGCTTGGCATCGTTAGGGTGTACTCAACCCCAGTGTTGATGTCACTGATGAAGGGGCAATCCCAGATGTTTATACAGACTGGGTGTAGAACTCCTTGAGAGCAGCCCTGTGGAGGAGGACTTGGGGATCCCAGTGGATGAGAACCTGGATGTGAGCCAGCAGTGTGCGCTTGGAACACGGAAGGCCAGCTGTGTTCCGGACTGCATTAAAAGAGGAGCAGCCAGCAGTGAGAGGGAGGTGATCATCCCCCTCCACTCTGCTCTTGTGAGGCCCCATCTGGAGTACT